GTTCCTTTACATCCTTCAACGGCACAAAAGTCATCCCATGCATGTGCCACGACTCATTCCCTTGCAATCCCTCTACTCTGCTGTATGGACCCCATAGTGTTCATTACTATCTAAAACTTGCTTATTATTCTCAGTTTCCTGGAGAATATGCGCTCAGTGAATGCTTGGAGAGTGTCAGTTTTGTTTATGTCTGCATCCTCAGTTGCAAGAACACAGCCTAACACATAACACATGCAAACATCAATATTGGTGAAATAAATGTATGAGCTAATTTTGGTAACCTATTATAAAAAATAATTTTAAAAGCTAACAGCAGGAGACATTAACACCTGACATACTTTGTAGTTTCTAGACATGAGTCCAATCCTTTTGAAAATGAACCCAAACAGTTTCTCATTTGAAATCCTGTGCTATTTCCTACTTTTATGATTTCTCAAAGGATTTTGACCATGGCTCTGAGATTTGCAAGTCTTTCCAGTGTCTGGGAGATTTTCTAGCTAGGCTGAGGTAGCAACAAATTGCACGCGTGAAGGATTCTCATCTAGAATGAGGTTACATTTTCGAGTCAGCATGCAAAGGTAAAATTGACATATCACCAGAATTTCCCTGAATGTCCTAGCATCAAAACAGATAACGGATTGTGCACCGGTAGTTGTGCACCCAGGGAATTGGTTTGTTCGCATTAGGTACCCTGTGGTGTGAAAAACAGGGCTCTCCAAACACCAGATTCAGTCTCAGCCTGGCTAGGCGCCTTTCTTATTGGAGGTGCTTGGGAACTAAGGCTGAAGGGACAGCAGTTTACAATCTCTGCTATAGCTGGAGCTGAACTGACTGATTTAGAGTCCCGCCTTCTAACCCTTACTTCCCATGAGAGTACAGACTGTCACTCAGCCTCTCTACACATCAGTTTCTTCATCTGTGAAGTGGGATAATAATGTACCTGCCTCAAAGGGTTACATTAAACCTAAAGTCATCGACATATGAGTTCCTTAGACTATCACCTATGTGTGCTGAGCATGCCCAACCGTATTTGCAATCATTTTATTATCTCTCATCTCCTGTTCATGCTGAAACAGAGGCCGGGTGGGCGGGAAGGCGGGCAGAATGTCCTCGACTATTTCAGTCGTAATCACTTGTTCTCTTACCTTCTTTTTTTGTTTCTTTCCCCAGATGCCAACAGCAGCATTTGTCTGATGTGACCTTGCTCAAGCGCTCCATCTCTGCTGGAACTCTGGGTTCCCTCTACTGATTATCATATGGGTTCTACTTTGTACACTTTTCTGAAGCTACGTGGAGGACACACACATACACATCAGATTCTATTCATCCGTTCAAACTTCCATGCTACCCCCTAACCGTGAGCTTGGCTTTCTCCTCTTGACCCTCTCCAAACAAAGCCATTGAGTCTCTTCAGTTGCTTTCAGCTTTTTCTAGAATCCTTACTTTATTCTCTGGCTTCAGCTTTTCTGATACTTTTTTCTTTTTTTCAGTTTCATGCTCTTCCCTTTTAGCACTGAGAAAGTTAAAAAGTCAGAAAGAAAGGCAACACAGCAGAAAATGCATGAAAAATGACCAGCCAGGATTTTTTTTTTTAATGTGAAGAGCAGAAGAGAGCGAGGCCTGAAGAGCTGGCATGAGGAGAAAGGAACATTCGCTGTTATATATGGCAAAAGCTGCTGTCCTAACAGAGGTGATGAATTCCCACAGGCCAGAGCTGCTGGAGGACAGGGCTCTCAGGGGGAGCCAGCCTGGCAGGCAGGCTAACTGCCAGAGAGCAGAAGCCAAGCTTCAGCCACATCTGGAAAGTTCCATTGTTACAGGTATTCGCTTCTTCTTAGCCCTAGTATGGAATCTCTTGTTACTGGATTTTTAAGACTAGAGAAGAAAACGTTATATAAAGACCCAGTAGATGCCAGGTGTTATTATTATCATTCTTTGGGCCTATAGTTGACTAATTCATTTATCCATTCAACATATATTTTCTGGGCATTTATAGCCTAGGCATAATGCAAAACATGGCATGAAATGTGAAGTGGTAAAGTCTCTTTCATTGAATAGTCAAGTCTTAGGAGAAAGAGAGGCGCAGGAGTAGCGTATACAGCAGGCTGTGTGCATTGTCTTAGGCTGCGTATACAGCAGTTGCAGAGGTCTTACAAATCACAAGAAAAGGAGAAGGTGGACAGGGAAGAAGTGCAGACCCATACAGAGTGTGCTAATGAGCAGGCCACCGCTGTGCGCAGTGTGCTCAGTCCCACTGAAGATCTCCCAGGGACATTGTAGAAGCTGTCTCCTGTTGCCCATTAGAACGTGTAATCTGTGACATTCGCTCAGTAACTCCCACTTCTGGCCTGCCCGGGCCTCTGGACTAGCATATTCTTGGCTGCACACAGTAGAAGAGTCTTGTGTGGATAGAAGCAATGATGCTAAGGGGACATGGCAGAACACAGAAGTGTCTGTTATGTTCACTTAGAGAAAGAAGCATGGAGCCTTATGGATGCTGGAAGGGAAGCTCCCAGCTTAAACCAGCTGTGTATCTTCTTTGAAGAACTGACAGTTGATCACTATCCTGCTACGGGGTACCTTCTTCTAGAGCTGTTCAGTGATGCAAATTCTGGCTGGTGTAATAAGCCATCTCCTGATTGTCCTACCCACAGGTCCAGGAGGTCGCGAGCAGGACAAGAACTCTGATGGCCAACAGAGCCTAACTGCGCTGTCGTCTGAGACCGAGAGGTGTGGAATAGATGGAATGAGCTTACGTTTGCTTTTCATAAAGAAACCCAAGGACTTTCAGGTTGGCTCTGTTTGTGAACTGTTTATGCTTCCTCAGAGCCCTCCTTCCGGAACCCTCACCTCTCAGCAGCCCCTCCCTACCCCCATGCCTCTGCCCTCCCTCCCCCTTCACAGTACCACCTCCCAGTCAGAATAAGGATGTGGCAATCAGGCTGCCCAGAATTGTTCTCCCTGCCTTCAGTTCGCCCTGAGCAGAGTTCAGATTGCACATTTCCCGACACTCAGAGAGACCCATTAATATTTAGCATGTAACATTTCCAAAGCACTTTGCTAACATGAATTGATCTTTTCGGCACCCCCTTGCGAGGCAGCTCAGTACTGCTAGCTCTATTGGGGACCTAAGACTTCAGGAAGATAAGCTACTTAGTCTGGGGCTGGGGCCGGGGCTGGTGAGTGATGGACTCAGATTAGCACCAAAGGTCGATGACACCAGTTGTCTGTGTTCTCCAGACAGAACTGTAGAGTGGCCATGACACACCCTCCCTCACCAGGCTGTCCTGGAACAAATCCAGCCCTCAGAAGGTTTAAATAGAATGGATTTGTCATCTTTAAGATTGAACTGCTTACAAACCAGCTATCATTTATGGACTCGGGCACTTTACATAGATTGTGTCATTTAATTCTCTCAGCCCTTGTCCATCTTCTGCAAGATCACTATCAGTTTGAATATCAGAGGACCAAAGCACAGAAAGATTAAGTAACTAACATAAAGTTTCCCAACCAGTAATTAGCAGAGCTAGGTTTAAACCTAGGCTAGACAGCTTCTGGGTTTTAACTACTTTGAGCCAGATTTGTAGCATGATTAATAAAAACCCAGAGACAGAAATTGGGGTTCAGCCTGAAGGTCAGAAAAGCAAAACATCAGCAGCCACTAGCTCTTACCTCTATCTCAGTCCGAAATGGCGATCCTGCCTCCAGGAATCTCAGAATTAGACTATCTGAGAGCTGTCTCCTCCCATCTTACATTTCTCTCTAGTGCTGGGATTAAAGGCGTGCACTACTACCGCTGTTTCTATAGCAAACTAGTGTAACTACTGGGATTAAAGGTGTGTGCTACCACTGCCTGGTCTGTAAGGCTGATCCATACAATTGTTTCACTCTCTGAAGTTCAGGCAAGCTTTATTTTTATTAAAATACAAATGAAATATCACTACGCAGATTAGATGTAGGTAGATGAACAGGGTCAAGTGGAATTGCTCTTTGTGAGTTCTGCTCACTCCTGGGCAATTCATCATTTGCTTTGCACAATTATTTCTGCAGATAAAGGAATGAGAGTGTGTTTGTGAAGAATGAATGTGTAAACTAGAGCTGTTGGGTGCTTGGTTCCCTGTGGTTTCCTTTGCTTCCCATCCCAAAGGTTTGCTAAAAGTACTTATGAAATATTAAATAGATAAGAGGAGGCCCATGTATCATACACTGTGTTTAATGATGTCACTCACTCTGGTTGGCAGAGCACATGGGTTGTGAGAGCTTTTTGACAGGGACCATGGAGGGAGGCAGGAGTGACCTATTAGCCCAGAGAGGCTGCAGAAGTTTTGTGAAGGTGACCCGAGTTGAATTTTAACAAATAAAGACTTCCTGAAGATTGTAGGTAAAACAGTCCCACTGGTTTTACAGACCAGGTTATGGTAACACACACCTTTAATCCCAGTAGTCACACTAGTTGCCATAGAAATCAGGTGGTGCATGCCTTTAACCCCAGTGGTACACGCCTTTAATCTGAGCCCTAGAGAGGAATATAAGACGGTGGGGAGACAGCGCTCAGACAGTTTCATTCTAAGATTCCTAGAGACAGGATCGCCATTTTGGTCTGAGGCCAAGGTAAGAGCCAGTGGCTGGTTGTTTTGCTTCTCGGATCTTCAGGTGAACCCCAATTTCTGACCCTGAGCTTTTCTTAATTGTGCTTCAAGGAAAGGTCAGTTTGCAAAGAGAGTGGAGGTGTGAGGTGACAGGCAGGTTCAGGGGCCAGGAAGTTTGAGTCTCTTGCTTTCTTGCAGTCAGTGAGTTAATCTGTGGTCCCAAAGTCCCGGATGAGAGAGGGGGTCAAAAATTCTTGGATGTTATTGAAAATGTAATTGTTTGTGACAAGAATAGTCAAATTTTCTCCTTGGCGTTTTGTTGACTAAAATGGATAATTATCTAACAGGTGTTTGACAAAGTCTCTACTACATCCAAGGTATTGACTCCAGGAACCCTTGATGGGAACATACCTTTCAGGGGACTGAGGCCACTGAGTTGGCCTGGAGCTGAAGCGTTGTATTCTGGGAAGAAGTTGTGAAGAAGAGTCACTCTGTCTCTCTCTCTCTCCTAGGGGGACAATTACCAGTGTTGTAATTTAATTCTTTTACATTTTTAATGTTTTTAATTGAAATAGAATTATATCACTTCCCCTTTCTCTTTCCTCTCTTCAGTCCCTCCCAGGTACCCACCCTCAGTCCTCTCCCATGCCTGCCCAACTTAAGAGCTTCTTTTTCTTTGTTTATATTTGTTACATACACATACACACAATACCTTCTGAGTCTGTTTGGTTGTTTGTGGTTTCAAGGCTGACCACTCTGCATTGGACAACCAATAAGGAAGCTCATTCCTGGGAAAGTCTAATTCTTCCTCTCTCAGCTGCCACTAGTTGCCCCTAGTTCTTTGCTGAGGGGTGGGGCTCCAGAAAAATTTCCCATTCAGAGTTAGCATGTCCATTGCTACTGCTGCTGTTTCGGCTTGCTTATGCAGACATTTCTAGGAGAGACTGCTTTACAGCAGCCTTGCTGGTATTCTGGCTCCCACAATCTTCCCACCTCCTCTTCTGCAATGTCCCCTGAGCCATAGATGCAGGAGCTGTGATGTAGATTCATCTGTTGGAGCTGGGATCCCCATTGATCTCTCTTTTCTCTCTGGTTGAGTGGACTTTAAAGCTCATTTAGACGTCTGTTGGCTGCCACCAACACGTGAGTGCTGGTTCTTGCCGGTTCTTGCTGGTTCTTTTATGCATATCTTGCCATGCAGGTAACTGTGGTTCATAGGCGTTGCAGCCGGGTAAGACTGCATTATGTCCAGTTGTGCTCTTCTGTGGTGGTATCTGCTTGTTGTAAAGAGAAGCTTCTTTGATGTGGGGGGGGTGGCTACACTTATTTCTAGGTATAGGATTTATAATGTGGTAATGAATTATGCTGCTCTAATAAATGTCAGTAGTAGTTTCTTTCCTTTTTTCTTTTTTTTTAAAGATTTATTTATTAATTATGGAAATCTTTTAAAAAAAAAAGAAAAAAGAAAAGAAACTACTACGGTCATTTATTTATTCTGCATGTATGTTGCAGGCCAGAAGAGGGCACCAGATCTCATTACAGATGTTGTGATCCACCATGTGGTTACTGGGGATTGAACCCTGAACCTCTGTAAGAGCAGTCAATGCTCTTAACCTCTGAGCCATCTCTCCATCCCCAGTAGTTTCTTTTCTAAGCTCTTTAGCCTCACTAGCCCCTGGAGAGCTGATTAGGTTTCCAACACCAGGCATGGGTCCCCGCCTATTAAGTGGACCTTAAATCCAATTAGACAGCTGTTGGCTACCACCACCACGTGAATGTCAGTTCTTGTACCTTTACCCAGCGCTTGCCATGCTGGTAATTGTCATGGTTCATAGGTGTTGCAGTGTTGTAGCTGGATAAGACTGTTTCATTGTCCCCCCCCACGCTACCCCATCCCCCTGACAGCTTGCATCGCATCTTCTGGAACCAGGGAAGCTGAACTTGAGGAAAGAGGCTTTCAGATCAGATCCAACTCAAGTCATCCAAGTCCTGTGTCCTAAGTGTATGGTGTCTTCAGCGTATACTTGCTATATGGCACCTGTGTGAAGATCAGAGGATGACTTGTGGGAATTGATTGACTCTTTCCTTCTATCTATCATGAGGGATTCAGGGATCAAACTCAAGATGTCATGCTTGACGCTCCCCTCCCCCACCCGACAATGAGTCATCTCATTGGCTCTGGTATTATAATTTAAAACCCCATTTGTTCCCTATTTGAATCTGTCCCTTCTGAGCAAAACCTTAAGTAATGTGTATCTCCCCTTTCCTCTTTAGTTCATCATAGTTTAACAATTTACCGGCCATTGTATAATTCGGCCACTGGGTAACATTGTTCATGATTAGCCAGTGTGATCTGGTGGGTCTCCATCTTGCACTTGTAGTTTAGTGACTCAGCTAAGATACCCTTCAGGGCCCTGGTCTTGAACTTGTTCCCTATACATAGTATTTTGCCTTCCAGCTCCAGTGGGCATTCCCACAGATATAGCTAAATGCCAGAGAGCCCTGACTGTGCAGCGGAGTGAGGAGTATGGCTTGAGGCACATGGTGAGTTAGGTCTCGATGGTGTCAAATGGAGGGCAGTGATGAAGCAGAAGTCCAGACGGGTTATCAGTTACAGCTCTCGGGGACCGAGTCCTTCTCAGATGATGCAGAGTGAATCTGGATACAAAGTCACCGAGCTCATCCCTTTATGTGGGGTTCGTGGCATAACATATAGGTTAACCACAGACACCTCAAGAAGTGGAGATGGGTGTATATACAAGTCAAAAGTACATCAGCTGCTGGGACCCCACAGTCCTGAGGTTGAACAAGGCAGTAGTTGCTTCTGTGCCTTCTTCTTGGTGGCTTCAGTCAGAGTCCTCTGGGCTCCGGTTAAGTTTTAGGGTCTGGAGTCATGATCGTTATCACAGAGAATGGAGTGAGAGCTATCTGTGACTGTCCTGCCCTCCTAGTGTCCCTCAAACTCTTCAGTTTATGGCTTAATCCACATTCTTTTAATAGCAGTCCTTACAAACACTAGTCAGGAAGGAAGGGGTCAACACCCAAAAGCCCAGTGAAATTTGGATCTTCTTTGTGTGTAAGCAGAAATCCACAAAAGGAAAGATTTCTGACGTTAGGAGGCACTGATCAGAGCCCACACTTCCAGGCGGAAGCCTTATTTAGTCCCTCTATCCTGGTAAGGTTTTCTCTTCCATCTCCCATACCATATGGGTAATTAAGGCTTTGTATTCCGAGAATGCTGTGAAATGTTCCCCAGCAGGATTAGAACTTGACTCCTTCACAACCTACGTCTGCCTATTACCTTCCAGGCGTCTCTTCAGGACTGTTTTGAAACTATCCTCACAAAGTCCCCAACCCCCTGCTAGCTATCTCATGACTCCAAAGGGTCACACAGTTGAAACAGGGGACCTGGCACCAGGAACCATAGAATAATGAAGTCGAGGTGCTAGTATAGCAATTGAGAGCTCAGACTCTGGAGCCAAATGATTTTTAGTTCAAACCTCATGCTTATTAGCTCCATGGCCTCAGGAATATTATGAAAACCCTCTGTGCCTCAGTTTCCTCTAATGGGAAATGATAGTACATATAAGACTGCACAAGGACTGACTTGGAGCAGGATTTGAAGGGTTTGGCACAGACCCAGCACACACTAAACACTTGCTAACTGTAAAATGTTATTATTTATTAATGGAGGGATTTTCTGCATTCAGGATGATTCTTTTTCTTCCGTATGTCCTTGGAACCTCCACTCCATGACCTTCTCCCTAATTTACATTTATGGAGCCAGCTGTTCCAATAGCCTCTCTTTCTTCTGGTTGGGGATGGGAAGGAAAAGCACCTTGCATATGAGCTCTTATTATTTTTTGGTATTGCTTACAGTGTCATCTTAAACCAATATGCCAAAGCTCATTTTCATTCAGCGCTAAGGGCCCTTTAAACCAGCCATTCCCCATTTACTCTGTTTTATAAAGGAAGGCCTTCGGGTTTCATGTTCCTTTATTGTATTTTGTAGGGTACAGAACACATATTGGATACTATGTAAATGCAGAACACTCTAACAATAGTAACAGACAGATGAGAAACTCAAGGAAGTGGAGTCACCATTTTGAATTTAGCTTTTTATCGATGAGCTGAGTGATTTGGAAGAGACAATGTGGCTCCAAGGCTAAAGAGCCCACAGGGATTTCAATGGCTAAGGTCTGAGTCTCAGTCACAGCAGCAGCTCCGGTGACCCAAGGCAAGCAGCTTCCTTCCCCTGGACCTCAAACTCTCCCCATGAACACTAGGCTTGATGCTACAAAACTGCCTCCCAGGCATGCTAAGTTAAGCCCGGCCATATGCTGCTGGGCAGATCGTGCACTGCTAAAGGGTGCCAACTGAGGGGGCAAGTGGGGCATAGGATGTGGTCCACACTTGGTCCATACTCTGCTATCAGTCTGTACCCTAGTAGCGGGTTGATACTCCATCCAGAGGAATCGTGTACTTGGCCCTTCCACTCTGCACAATAGTATTCATATCAGTTAGTAGAGACCCTGAATTGAGCAACTTGACAGGAGTGTGGCACAGAGTACAGCAAACAGAATGTGCAAATTCAACACAGCCACTGAATGCTTGCTCTGTGCCAGGCCCAATTCTCGGGCTGAAGAGATGGAGATAGATGCAGGCAATTAATACCTGTGGTTCTGCCCTTCCTCCTCCAGCCCTTCCTCTACCACATCCAGTCGATTAACAAGCCATGTCAAACTCACCCAGTTTGCTCCATCCCACTGCCAGCGCTTGGCTTCATTATGATACAAGGACTCCCACCTCCTCTACCCTGTCCTTCAAACAAAAGCAAGAGTGTTTGTATTAAAATGTGAATCAGATAATATTACTCCATTTCAACCCTTCGGTGGCTATAATTTAATTCAGGGTTCTCATGATGGCTCACATTCTGTCCCCTGAAGCAAAGCAAATCGTCTCGTCCTTTAAATAGCCCAGCTCTTCAGTTAGTCTAAGCCTTCTGGCTGGAACACTGCTTGGTTCTCCCCTTTAGCATCTCTTTCTCATCCTTTAGCACTAAATGGACAGCCAGCTCTTCAAAGAAGCCTCCTTGGGCCACCTTGTTAAAGTTACCAAGATGTTCAATTGTACAGCAGCCCGGCTTACTTTGAAAGGAGAGAATTCCACATCTCCTGACTTATCTCCTGGATTGTTAAGTGCCAAATCAGTGAGGACCTTGCTTTTTAATTCTTCACTGAATGCCTTGCTAAATCTCTGATACACAGTACTTAATACCAATAATACTTGTTAGAGCAAGCTGGCAAATGGAATTCATCCGGGAGAGTATTGTGACTGCATGGAGAGATGTAGAGATGGTACCATGACGAAGGCTATGATGCACTAGGTGAGGTGGGGTGGCAGATCGTGGGGTGCTTCTATTGTTTGTGTGTTGATTTTTGTGGTGCAAATGCTACCTCTTGCCAGTGGTGTTCATAACTCGCCATGGGGCAGCACATACTCAACAAAGGCTTAGTGGACGAAGCAATACTTGAATTGTGTTTTGCAGAATCTGTGGTTTGCTGGCTCAGGTCCAATTCTGCTAAACTAGTTAACACAGCTCTGCTTCCCAGTAGCCCACATTTAACTGTTCCTGGTTTCCCTACCCACTTACCCCTGCTCACCTGGGCATTATCATGTGACTCAATCCAAGCCTCAGTCCGGCTTTTCCCGGGTCTGACTTTCTACTTAGACCAAGGAACATTGACACCCCCCCCCTCCAACTGTCTTAGTAAGGGTTTCTTTTGCTGTAATGTAAAACCACGACTAAAAAGCAAGTTGGGGGAGGAAAGGGTTTATTTAGCTTCCATTTCCAGATCATAGTCCATTACTGAAGGAAGCCAGAACAGGAATTTAAACAGGGCTGGAACCTGGAGGCAGGAGATGAAACAGAACGGTGGAGGGGAGCTGGCTTGCTTCCCTTGGCTTGATCAGCCTTTCTCTTTTAGAACCCAGGGCACCACCCACCATAGGTTGGGTCCTCCCCCATTGTCACTGAGAAAATGCCCTACAACTGGATCTCATGGAGGCATTTCCTCAACTGAGGCTCCATCCTCGCTGCTAACTCTAGCTTGCGTCAAGCTGGTAGACCCAGCCAGTACGCCAGCGGAGGCTGTGCAGTAGTAGAGACTTTCTGCAACAGTTCCTACTGTGGCTGATGATTGTGCTTTGTTGCTGTTGCTGCTTTTGCTTTTCAATATGGAACTATTTGATCAGTGTCTGTCTCTTCTTAAGGGGCTATAAACTCCACAGGGGTAGGGATTGCTTTGTTCATTATTTTTAGCCCCCAGCACTGTACATTGTGAACAATAAAATACAATAATTTTGTTGATCAGATCACTGGAGCGGGGGTGGAGGGACTTTTAAGGAAGGCTCACACCTACGTACCCTATAATGAGATTGGTGTGTCTTTTCTCTTCAGATCTCTTAAGGGATAGGAAGGAGAGTAGTGGACTGGAGATTCCTATTTTGTAAACGCTACCCAAGGTGTTCACCTCCATCCTGTCTCTCAAACTCAATTAAAAGGTGTCTTTACAGGATTTTAACACAAACATGACTTGATTAGATTTGTTATTTACATAAATCGGCCTTTGGCAGTAGGGCGGACCACACAGTGGTACTGGGATCAGCAAGGACAGTAATCAGCTAAGAAACAAAGCAGGGGAAATGAAATAACTGGCAGTGGAAATCAAAGCGACCAGATTCAAGTGCTAAAGTTAGAGAATCTACAGGGTTTGGTTATTATTCAAACACGGATGGAAGAGGCAATGGAGACAGATGGGGGAATCCAGGTCAAAGGGACAAGTGGATGTCAGTGAACAGAGAGGAGAGACATACTTTTCAAATATTTCTTTTTTCTTTTATGGTTGAAGATCGAACCCAGAGCGCCCCACTTGTTAGGCAATCACTGGGCTTATACCCTTAGCCCACCAAAGGGTTCAAGCCAGTGTTTGACAAGCATGCAAGACGGGAATAAGACTAGGCTGTCTAGAAGTTGGGAGTACAATAAGCTAAGGCAGAAAAAAAAAAAAAAAAGGCTGAGCTGAATTCCCCTCCCCCCCATTCTAAGAATCGCAGAGAACAATATTTAAAAGGAGAGTTCAGAAAAAAAAAAGAATAGGAATAGACTGAGTCGAACGGTTTGGAATGAGGAAGGCAAACCTGGATAGTGTCATAGAAAATAAATGATAATGTCCAACATCATCAAATGAGTAATGCTCAAGTTAGACAGCCTGAAAATACCTCTAGTGGGTTTGGCGACAAGGACACTGGCTGCAACAAGGACATTTTCCGCGGGGGCAGAAGCTGCAGTGTAGAAAACAACACACACAGGAAGTGGAGACACTAAGCGTAGATTACGCTTGAAGAAACTCGCCTGTGGACGAGGAAAGAGACACGGTATGATTGAGTAGGACGTGAGGAGATTTGAGCGCAGTCACAGCTGAGGGTAGAGATGGAGGAGGGTGGACAGTACAGGAGATAGAGGGGCGTCAACGCCCTCCCGCCCTCTCCATTTACCAGCTCCGCCCCTACGTGACGCGACTGGGCCTCGCAAAGACTACAACTCCCAGGAGGCCTCGCGGCGCGGGCGGAGCCAAGGCTTGGCGCGCACCCCAGCGGCGAGCGGAAGAGCAGGCGCTTCATGGTGGCGACGGAAGCGGAGAGCGACAGCGTCCCGGTAACCACGAACCCCTGTCCCCGATTCTTTTCCACCGTGAGCTGTGGCTGGTTGTCCCCATTTCTCCCCTCCGTCCCCCGACAGGACCTCTGTTTATTTTCTTTTCTCACGTGACTCGCGGGGCAGGCCCCCGCCTGGGGCGGGGGTTATTGGGAGCTCCCACCCTTCGACCCCTAAGGGCCCCCGGACCCGACGGTCTCTTTCGTGTGCCTTCTGTCTTCTCTGGGGTCGCGTCCCTGCCTACCTTGAGTCTCTGCCTAATGCCTCTCGTAGGGATCATCTCCCTCCGGTGTGTCAACAGGTAGCGGGGGCTTTGGGGACCCGCTTTGGGCTGCGGGGCTCTGGGTCACCGAGGTTGCTCCGGGATGACCTCTGAGTCGTGGGCTCCCGGGCAGTGCTGGGTGGTGGCACTCGTGCCTCACGTAAGCTCCGCTCCCAGAGCCCCGGGCTATGGGCTGGCTGTGAACAGTTTAAAGTAGATGGAGTGTGTACTTCCTGCTCTTCTTGGGCGGTCCTCGGAAAACTTCCAAATCCCTTTATCGAAAGTTTCCGCCGAACTTTTGTCTCCGTGTCTGAGTTGTGAGGGAAGGAGCACAGAGTTTAGTGTTTGGCTCCTGAGAGATTGATGGGTCGGCCCCTTGCTGGACAGTGATCTGTTGTAGTCCACCACCTCGGTTTCCCTGTCTTAAAAAAAAGGGAGGGGGGCAGTCATCTCGGTACTCTGCCTTTCAGTGTTCTGGGTTTCAGCAGAAACATACGTGTGAAACGTTTGGACTGTAAAGCATGTTTAAAATCAAGCTTTAGTATTCTCCCTTCTGCGGTCCAGGCCAGTTGCATTTTACAATCACGTTCATATCTTTATGAAGACTGGAGTTAATAAATGCTCTCTTTAGGAACTGATATGAAACATACAGATGTTATGCTAGGTTTCTCCCGGAGAGGTGACGCGGGGTCCCAACCACCTGTGGAATCAGGGCCTGTCAGAATGTGGACTGTTCTCCACAGCTACCTAGCTGCCCTGCTCGCTCTCCCAGAGTCTAGCCATTGTGGCTCCCCTGCTTTTCAGGTCCTACTCTATGTAGCATCTGCTTTAGCTGTTTGGTGTGTACTGGCTAGGAGTCTTTGCTCACAGGGTTCAGAATATAAATAGCTAATACTGCAGTCTGTTTTCTGCCTGTAAAGATGGGAGATTCTGAATGGCTGCTTATTGTTGCGTCTGCGGAATCCCCTCGCCCCCCAACTTGTATAGGAGTTCGGGACTTTGCAAACAAATTTTAAAATGATGTGGGATATGGTAATTTTTTGATTTGTTTGTTTGGAATTGTTGATTGGAAAAGTTTTAAGTATGGTTTAGAAAAAATAAGGACAGAAGGAAAGTGTATTAGGTCAGTGTATAAACTTGTACAAATTTGAATTCAAATCCCGGTGTTGGGGCTTACGCTGGGCAACCTAATTGACTTCTCTGAACCCGTTTATTAAGATGGAATTAACAATATTTACCTCATAAGATGTTTGTTAAGATTATGTAAATTGCGACTTTGAAGACATTATTGATGGTAAGGGCATGTAAGTTAATTTTTGTCGCTGTTACTGATGAGTGATGACAAGAGGTGTTGTTAATTTTAGATATTTTTCTGAGATACCATTTGTTTGTAAAACAACGATATTTTTTCTGTACTCTACAGACTTTAAAAACTCTGGTAGAACTGGCCATGGTGTTAACACACCTATCTCATCATTTTTAATATCAGGGCAGGAGAATCGCAAATTCAATGCCAGTCTGGCCATTTTAGAGAAATTCTTTCTCAAACACCACTACCACTACCACCAAAAAAATTGTAAATAGAAGTTCTTAGCCAGGTGGTGGTGGCACATGCCTTTAATCCCAGGCGGTGGTGGCACATGCCTTTAAACTCAGGAGGCAGACTCAGGTGGATCTCTTGAGTTCAGGCCTGCCTGGTCTACAAAGCGAGTTCCAGGACAGCCAGAGCTGTTATACAGAGAAACCTTATCTTGAAATACCAAACAAAACAAACCAAAAAAGTTACCAAAATTGCAGATCTTCTCCTCATAACAATTTCATTTTTATTAAACATTACAAGGGTTGAGGTGTATAATTGATTGATAAGAGTGCATAAGGCCCTGGGTTCTCTCCTAGTGCCAGGAATAGCAACAGCTACCAACAGCAAAAGCTTTTAATCCCAGCAGGCAGATTGATCTCTGAGGTTTTTGCTAGCCCAGTCTATGCAGTGAGTTCTAGGCCAGTAATGGTGATACAGTGAGAGCCTGTCTTTATATGTAGGTATGTATGTATGTAGGTATGTAAGAAGACGGGAAACGTGATTGTTCTTTTTTATTATTTGGGTTTCCTACAGTGCTGTTGTGAAATGGTTGTTGGGTCTGTGCTTTAGTTAATATTTTTGTACCTTGTTAGTTGAAATTGAACTGGTGCTTTATTTATGGCCTGTACTAAGTGTATTTCACTGTGCAGTGCAGCTTGTAGCAGGACAATTACCTATAACTCAGATTATTGACAAGAATGGGCTTTTATAGAGCAATTTTTGTGTCTGTGTTTACACGTTTACTCGCCCCCCCCACATATACATACACATACAGTTTTTAAGTTAGGCTGTTGTAAAATTTTAGCCTGAGTTGGACGTGTTGGTGTACGCCTTTAATTCTAGTACTTGGGAGTCAGAGGCAGGATGATCTCTGTGAATTCAAGGTCAGCATGGTCTACACACACAGTTCCAGGTCAGCAAGAGCTACCTGGTGAGACTCTGTTTGAAACAAACAAATTTAGCCTAAAGTAGTCTAGGAAACTTGGTGTCCCTCTTTTTTTTTTATTTTTTTTATTTTTTAAAAATGATGTCCAACATCTTCTGCTGATGTCCTGGCTGTGTATGTATCTTTAAAGAGTAAGTTTAGCAAAGCCAAGGAAGACAGCCTTACAGACAAATGATCTGTTGTTGATTAGGGCAAAATCTTAGACAGGGTTTCTCTGTGTAACAGTCTTAGCTGTCCTAGAACTCACTTTGTAGACCAGACTGGCCTTGAACTCACAGAGATTTCCCTTGTCTCTGCCCCCGCCCCCTGCTCCAATGCTGGGGTCAAAGATGTGCATCACTATGCCTGGCTGTATCAGGGCAAAATCATATGGGTTAGGAAATGAAATATGCAGGGCGGTGGTGGTGCATGCTTTAATCCCAGCACTCAAGGCTGGGACACAGAGAAACCCTGGCTTGAAAAGACAAAACAATAGCAAAACAAACAAAGAATTTAAATACTGTTTTTATTTTCTTCAGGTGACTCATTGACTGCCAGATAGTCACACATTTAGATATTTAAAAAATATTTCCTTTATTCCTTTTTTTTATACTTGATCTCCACCAAAAGACCATGAAGCAATTATTCTCTTTCATCTTGTGCCCTCTGCTTTTTAGATTCATTCTTACCTTTAGTTATGCTTCAGCATGATTTTTTGAACAATAGTGTGTATACTATATATATAGACACATATATACATGTATATGTATATACTCATACACACATATGTGTATACACATATAGCTATAATAGTAGAAAGTTATGCGTATTAAAATCTACTTTGTGCATATTGTGTTGTCTCCTTTGTTTCAAATACTTGGCTTTTGACTCATTTTGCTTAAAAGAACTTTGGCAGGTAGATTTCGTGCTTAACTGTGTACGTAGTGAATGCTCAGTTAGTGATGATTGTTGAATAGGAACATTATACTGATTGTCTTATGCGCTATGGCACAATTAGGCGAGGCTGTACTGTATTGTGAAAATTCCTAAGCTTTGGAGTCAAAGTTCTGAATCCAGTCTCCTCTGCTGGGTGTAGCCTTAGTTCCTACTTTTGAATTCACTTCACACCATCAGTAAAGCAGGGTTATTAGCCTGCGAGGCTGAAATAGACATATTTGAGCTAGGCGTATACTAGTCAAGTTTAGTAGAAAAAGGAGTTGCTCATATTAATATTTTTATTTTTATTATTTTATGATAGTTAAATAGGTTTTGACTATATTAATCATTCTCTTAATGTTTCACACGATCAGTGTGTTTCTTTTTTATCCCAGGTTAAGGTGGTTGACTGTGACCATGGAGCCTGAAACATTGCAAAGCTAATTGGCCCTCATGGAGTTTGAATTTGTGACCTGTTCTCATTAAATTCATGCACTAAGTATTCACAGATATCTAACATATTTTTTTAATTTGGTATTCATGTAACTCATTAGATATAAGTAAATGAAATAGTGCCAAGAGTAAAACTATAGATTTTTTAATTAAAAATTTATGAAGCTAGCCCTCATATAATATATAAAACTGGCAACCTATAGGATTAGCCACTTACCTGAGCCATAATTTAAACATTTCTTTTCATTGTTGAGTTATATTTATGGTAGGTTTCCTGCCCATAGAAGTGAAGAGTAGACTCTGCGTGTATTGAAAGAGGACACAGCTTCTGTGCTGCTCACCAGAGAAGGTGCTCTTAGTGTGCAGGGAAAACGTGAATGAGCCCAGCAGGATGGATGAGGCTTGGGTAAACTCCTAAGAGCTTATTGAATTACAGAGAAATTTAGTTGTCAGAGCATTAGATAGGAGAAAAGTTATAGGGTGTTGTTCAGTGGCAGCAGCCTGCATTTTGGAGTGTGTTTTCTGCTCTGAATAAGCCATACACCATTTTTTCCTAGTCTGTGGTGTGCTTTTTGCACTATATCATGTTAGCTTTCTGTGTAGTTGACCATTTTTCAAATTCACTACACTTTATTAATATTTGTTGCCTTTCTCTTGCATCTCTCTCTTTTTATGCCAAACATGGCCAATTTAAGACTGGGGATAAAAACATACATAAAGAAGCAGTATTCAGGGGAGAAAAGAAAAGAAGTAATATTGGAGTCAGCAAGTTCTGGTGTATGGAGTTGTGAGGTTTTCAAGCAAGTAGATTAGTTGTATGTGATGATAGGAATTTCTGGAATGATCAAATGCTGACCACTCATGACCTGACATTAAACTTGATGCAGAATTGAAAATATGGGCGAAAGGTGTGTAGTATTCATTAATTACAAATTTGTTTGTTCTTCTCTTCCTCCTCTTCCTCCTCCTCCTCTTCTTTTTTCAAGACAGGGTTTCTCTGTAGTTTTTGGAACTTTTCCTGAAACTCACTCTGTAGACCAGGCTGGCCTTGAACTCATAGAGATCTGCTTGCCTCTGCCTTCTGAGTGCTGGGATTAAAGACGTACACTGCCTAGCTACAAATTTGCTTCTTAAGAAGTAATCTGCATGTGTGTTAATATTAGTTTACTGTCAGGCTGTTTAGAATTCTTTGCTGTGGAATCTCACAAGAGAAAGAAAGAATGGAAGTAGTTTGATTTAAATCTAGTCAGCTTTATACCAGTAGTCTATTTCTGTTTTCATAACTGTAAAATGGACATAATACTATTAATTCTGCTTTAAAAATGAAAGGAAAAAGTAAAAAAAGGGTATTTTGGGGTTGAGTTAATAACTATAGGGAAGAGGGTGGATTCTGACGAAGATATGGTCTTATAACACAGTAGCAGGGTGAGGGGCCATCAAAAGAGTCAGCACATCAGGCAAGACACTTGCCACAGCCTCTTAAGAAGTGGGTAATCAGAAATGCCGAGAAGGGCAGCTCTAGATGGTCATGCGAGGGCCCGAGTGATAGGTGAGAGAGAAGAGCTGTCAGGTATGAGTTTACTGAGTCTGTTCATGTCTTATACTTGAGAACTCTCATTTGTATTTCCCCAGGAAAGGAAAGAGAAGCAGGAAAGTCAAGTCACATGCTCCTGCAGTTATTACATCACCGTTTCCCTTAAATAGTAAATATACTTTGTGTATTCAGCGCAGAACCACCAAATGTTTGTATTATAATCATCTTAAGTACTTACTTGGCCTTTTACAGAATAGTTTAAACACATTTTAGAAAATTGAATAATTTATTTTTAAAATATTTTTACCAAAAATACTAATGCATGTTTATTATAGAAAAATTAGTACAGAAAACTTTAGAAGATAAAGACAAAGTATTCATAATCCCAAGATCTAAAGAACATATAACAGGCACATATTGTTCATGTGGGTTTTCC